AACTTCAAATTAAACTGTGACAAGTTATTTTTGCCAGCTACTCTCCCTCTCTGTAATATTATAAAGTTTCATTCTCATCCTTTAATGCTGGCCCAAATTTCAACGCCACTGAATACCTCAGAGGGTGACTTGATTATCCTTCTTATAGTTACTACATCTGCACTAATGTATTTCGAGTGATTATGCCGTTTATCTTCCCACCCCGTCCTCAACTATGAACTTTCCCCAGGAGCTATCCGTCCTCAAGGAACGTTGCCTCCGTGGGTAGTGTGCCCCGGTCCCCTGTGCCTGCCCAACTCCACTGAACAGCGGAAACTGTTGTGCCACTGAAGTGAGTGGGAAGCCAAGTTTGCGGAGGGTTGCACGCTTAGATGAAGATTAGTGTTCGGCGTCCCAGAAACCCTTCAGCTTCCCGGGTTTCGAGTGTGAGCGAGCTTGCTGCAGCATTTTGTCGTCTTTCCGGCTGGGAGAGGTCACTTGTGGATGTCATGTCGTTAGGTGACGTAGGAAGACATAAAAGGTCTCAGTTGGAATAACAGCTTGACCTGTGGGATCTTCCAGCAAAGCGAAGTCAGGGAGACATAACCACGCTGGCAAGGCTGCAGTGAGCAGCTACTGTGTGTCCAGAATTTATGCTAATGGAAGAGAAGAAAAACAAAACCCTAGACCCGTATTTCACCAAACCAACCAGCAAATAGTTACATTGGAAGCCACTGGCACTAACTGTAAACACAGCAGTTTAAGTAAGGATGGTATTGTTACGGATTAGCCTTGTTGGAGATATTTTCATAGGAAAGAGAGAAAATGAGCCGGGCATGGGAAGTAGGAAGCGTTTGGTTAGACATGAGAAGAGACGAGTAGAGACGGTGAAAATGAACCTTTGGAACTTCGTGAAGAAATGCTTGACTGGCGTGCAGGTCACCTTAGAACTAAGATTCCTAAAGAAGACAGGACCAGGTTATGGACACCCTCCAAAGCTAATTAGAGACCAGTGACTTTGGTGTGGCTCAGAATGCTTGTCTCTGATTATGTCTGTCTGAGGTGGACCCCAATACTTGCATTTCTAACAAGTTCCCTCCCAGGGGATGTTGCTGTTGCCGGTGGGTCTGCAGAGCACACTGAGCATGAGCCATTGGAGAACAAGAGTGAGAGACACTTGATCTTATAGTGGCAGAGGTGGTGTGAGAGTTGTTTCAGAAGATGAAGTAAAATTAAGGCGGTGACTTACCTTTATCCATAGTTAGGTTGGTGATTTGGGGATTGGAGAGAAAGGATAGAGGAAAGGATTGTAAGGCATTTCAAAAGAAGATTTAGATAGAACTCGAGGAAATTTGAGAGTAGAAAAAAGCAAACTCAACTGCAGCTTCTTTCCTGAAAGAATGGAGATAAAGTGGCAGAGCATGAAGAGTGCAGTTTTAGACCTGTTGAATATGAAATACAGGCAGTCCTCGGGTTACGTTGGACTCCACGTACGTCGCCATCTCCCATTAATTAAAAAAAAAAGTTCTGTCATTTTGACATACGTACATATGAGCTTTATGTTTTTTTTATTATTTACCACAAATAAAGGGCAGGAATTGTTATCTTTCTTTTAAATTTGCTTTATTGTTTCACTTCATTACTGCTTTGTATGTGCTCCATGTGAGTGACTTAGGTGCTTATGTAGGTGGGTTTCGACTTACGGCGAAAATTGCATTACATCGCGCCATAGGAATGGATCTCTGACGTAACCCAAGGACCTACTTGTAATTACTTCTTGTCTTGAAGGCAGTTAGAAAAATGTAACCTGAACCTTGGAAGATGACAGTTGGGTGTGAATGAGGAAACAGCAGAGTATTGAATGGAAAAGGATCACTTTCCCCCACCTAAATATTTAAAACATCCTGAAATAGAATATTAAAATCCTTTAGTTCCTTATCTATCTACACTAATAAAAGAGAAAAATGGTAATTGGCATACGACCGCTACCCTTTCGATCGGCTAATCAGCGTATCCTTATGCAAATTAACTGTCAGCCAAGATGGCGGCCGGCAGCCAGGCAGCTGGAAGCGAACGTGAGGCTTGCTTGCTGCAGTGACTGCAGACTCCAACGTTCCCCGCCTGACTTTCCGGCCTCTGAGCTGGCAGTTTGAAACATTCTAACAAATATAGCCGGCTGGGATCTCAGAGCTGAAGTTATACATTGTTTCGATTATAGAACGGCAAACAAACCAGCAGCGGAAGCCTCAGAGCTAGAGCCAGAGCTAAAGCTGGCCCAGAAGAAAAAAAAAAAGAAAAAAAGGAGTGGTTGGGAGCTCCAGTCAAAACCGCCAGCCTGAAAGCAGCCCTCAGCCCCTCACCCAGACTGGCCAGGCACCCCAGTGGGGACCCCCACCCTGATCCAGGACACCCTTCAGGGCAAACCAGCCGGCCCCCAGGCCTCTATCCTATATAGTAAAAGGGTAATATGCCTCCCAGCACCGGGATCAGCGGAGCCGAGAGGCCTCCTGGCACCAGATCAGCATGACAGGGGGCAGCACCCAAACCCCCTGATCGCCCTGCGGCTCTGTGTGTGACAGGGTGTGGCGTCCCAACCCCCTGATCGCCCTGCTCTGTGTGTGACAGGGGGTGGCGCCCCA